TACCCAAAAAAAAAAAAAAATGTTTCACAAATATTTAATTAATATAAAGGTAAATCAGTAATTTGGTTTCCTATCCTAACAATTATCACCTCCCACAAACACCGCATTCAACTTTGTCCAAACTTCAACATTCTCCCTATCGTGGACACCAAACGCATCATTAAAAAATCCCAACAGTGTAATCTCCCACTTTAGGACTAAAAGCCACTCCAATGCTACTTTAGAATAGCGCAAAACGTTGAAGTAGCGTAAAAAAATCTCTCCAAGGCAGCACTATATTGTAGCGCTAGATCAGATAAATAAACAGTACTGCGCCAGTTCTAGCGCAGTACTGTAGCAGAACGCCAGAATTTTTTTTTTCTTTTTTTTTAATGTATATTAAGGATAAATTTTTGTATAATGTATATTAATAAATGTAATTTTATGCTAAATAACTTTGTGCAATGTATTTTTTATGCTAAATAATTTTGTACTTTTTATTTATTGATGTATTATATTTTTATTTTATAATTTTTTAATATTAAAATGGTACCACATGAATAAAAATTTAACACATTCCAACAAGTATATTTCATTACATTTAAAAATTTACAACAAACGTAAAAATAATATATTAGAAATAAAAATTAATAAGAAAATAATATATTTGATGTAGAGTAAAATGTAGAGATAAGGGTGGGAGATAAATGTTTCACTCTACTCTAGAAAAGAGTAAAGTCCGCGCTAGAGTAGAGATAAGGGCTGGAGATAGCCTAATATAGTCTAATCTCATCTCCCTTATCAAACATGGCCTTTGCAGATTTTAGCTATCTTGGAGTGAAAGCTCGGACCGAGGTATCTTGGAAATGCCAGACAACTTGCATTTTGGTCGCGGGCCGTATCCTGCCTTGCGGGCCTAAATCTAGGCCAACAAACAAACTTTTTTGGGGTAGATTAGGGGTGCAATCTCACCCTATCTTGCCTAACAAATGAGCCTAAAAGTTCTAAAATTAAATTAAGTGATCGAATAAAATATAATTAAAAATAATATAATTAGGTTTTCCTTTTCAGAAATAGTTATGTTCTATACTTCTATAGTTATTGAAACATATTATATTTGTATTAAAAAGATGGGTAGAGGGTTAATGAGTTAAATTAATAACCATAAGATTTGAATTTTGATGTAATGATATTATATCTTTGTCGTATTTAATACACTATATATGTATTTTTCTAAATACTTAAGTTTTGAAGTAATAATAGATTATATCTTTGTCACTATTATTTATATGAGCGATATACACCTCGTATAGAATTATGTACTTATAACATTTCTGTTCAAATATTATCAAAAAATGGGTTATCGTCTTCCATGGGCCTTTTGAGATTGAGAATTATATTGTTACCAACGAACAAAAAAAAAAAACATATTGGTTCTCAAATAAATATTTTTCTCGCATTATATTATTCTTAAAATATTTTTCTCGCATGATATTATTCTTAAATTTAAAGAATTATTTTAAATTATTTTTTCATATAATTTTTTTACAATTTTTAATACTATCATATTTAATATTTTAGAAATTAGATTCTATTTTATTTATAATTGGGGAAATATGTTATAATTAGTTATAGAAATAATTTGTACCCATGCAAAACATCAAAATAGATATCTATTAGTATAGGTGAAAATTATACAACACAATAAAAAGAATTGCATTAGGGCACACATAACAAAACACACTATTCGTACTAATAAAAACAAACATGTATTCTTTAAAGTCTTTGGTGTAATACGTCCATTATTCGATCCAAGAGTGAATTTGGTTGCTCTTTGATTATTGCTTTTTATTATTATTATTATTATTATTATTATTATTATTATTATTATTATTATTTATTTATTTTTATTTGATGAGGAAGGCATTTTTTTTATGCTACTAATGTTTGTACTTGCTCGTTGGTAATGCAAAACACTCCAACCGGCTTCAAATCGGCTCGTCTTCCTCCTCCTCGCCGGTAGAACGCCGCGTACCTGCAAAGAACTCTCGCCCCGGGGGGTTTTTCCGGTGAAGAGCCTCCGATGCTTAAGTCAGTATGTGTTTCACTCAATTCTCCAGAGTAAAAAATGGATAAATCGTGCTTATCAAGAAAGGCTCACTCCTATATATATAGGAGTGAGATACCTGCCCTAGGAGCTGCCCGGATTTGATGAGCTGTCTGCCCAACGCTGCCCGGATTTGCCCGCCCGTACACACACAATGTGTGTGTGTCAGAGATAGTTATCGCCACTATCGCTCTGCACCAATGTACTCTCGCCACGTGCCCCTCTGAACAGAGAGTAATTATTCCCTTGAATATTCCTTGGGAATTCCTGAAGAAGACCACGCGCATCCTCGCGTCCGTCTCACGCTCTCGATTGCTCCTCACTCGCCAAGTGGTCGATCAGATGAGTTCTCATTTAGTAGGTCGATCTTCGACCAGATCTGCTCCGATGCTCGACCACTTCCTTTCAGTCTGCTATTGCTCGACTAACGTGGCATTTCTGATATTAGGCTTATACGACCGGCCTAGTGAACCGGTTTACTCCATGGGTATATAATATCCCATATCATCTAGTCCCCCCCACTCTGGTCGAGTCTAAATGACTCGATCTAAGAGTGCATTTGTGTCTGTCTCTTTAGTCTGCTGACCTCTCGATCATCCGACTGGATTTACTTTTACCTTTCGACCATTTGATCGATGTTGCCTCCATTTTTCGACCATTTGACTGGTTTTTATAGTGAATTTCCATCGGCCCTTCATTCACCTTTATTAATGCCATTTCCACCTGCCACGCGTCTTATCTGTCCAGTACTTTAAATCATCCCGTCTCCTCGCACTTTGCGCCGCTTCGCTATCTGTGCCCCCTTAATTCTCCTCACTGTTAGATCCCACTTTAATCTAATGGCTATCTTCACCAACTTTTCACCTTATCTTTCTCTGTACTCGTATAAATACCGTACTTAGGATATTTTTTTTTCTTTTTCTCCACCTTTGCAAATCTCGAGTTTTCTTTTTGTGCCCTAAATTTCTTCTGCAAATCCAGTTTCCTTGCTTCCGGCGCTTTTAATTTTTCTTCGTCTCCAAGTTTTCCGGCGATCTTCTCCTTTGTGACTATGAGTAAGTATCCTGAGCTCCTAACTTTATGTTCATGTGTTTTTATTGTTGCAATTTGCTGATTTTCTTTTTCGAAATTTCATTCATGTCCTCTCCTTCAAATCTTCTTCCTATTTCTTCCCTTTTCTTCTTAAAAAACCTAAAAATTATTCCCTTTAACATCTTTTTTGACCTCTCTCCATTGTTTTCAGATTCTGCCGCTTCCTCTAGAACACTCACCGCTCCATCGAAGACACGGCTATCCCGTCATCGCCTTCACTTCGTCGCCCTGTTCCTCACTCTCCCTCAAATTCTGTTGATGAGGTTTACAACCCAGTTCCTGTCAATGCAATTCGCCGTTCCAACTATTTGACCTCTTCTCTTCCCCCTCAAACTCATCATCTCATCGATGAGTCCGATGAGGACACTATTGACCATGTTCCTCTTAGCCGCCGATCCCGACCTGCTTTTGGTGTTGCCGACGCTGCGGAAGCGGTTCTAGATGCCTCTGAAGCTGCTCATCAAGCCGATGAGGATGATATTCCTCTTTCCCATCATTCTATTTTCTCCAAACAACCCTCTTCGAGTAAAACTAAAGCATCTCCCGTTGCTAAGTCCAAGTCCAAAGTTGAATCTTCGGCCACCCCTGCTCCATCCAAAGACAAATCCGCTTCTATCGCTGCTTCTTCTAAGCCTTTCCAGAAGAAAAGCAAATCGACCAAAGCCTCCTCTTCTAAATAGACTTCTTTTCGTGCTCTTATAGCCGGCTGGTTGGACGATGATGAGGTCGGCCATCCAGCTAGCTGGGCTTTTGTATCTCCTGGTCCTAAGGACACTTATGATAATCCTCCACAAAATTGCTATAACTTTTTCGAGATCCAATTTAAACTCGGTGTTCGCTTTCCTTTATGTCAAGACCTGCTCGATATTTGTGACTGGCTTGACCTTCTATTGAACCAGCTCCCTCCTAACGCTATCCGATTTATAACCATCTTCATTATTCTCTGCCACATCCGTCTAGGTCGACTTGACCTAGCCTTTTTCCATTACTGTTACACGCCCTCAAAACATTCTCAAGGGCTCTACCTCAAGAGCCGCAACGATGTCCACTTCATATCTGACACCCCTTCTAACGTCCCCAAGTGGAAGGATAAATTTGCCTTTGTCGAGCCCAACCATGCTTTCCCTTGGGCACTGACTCCTTGGCTTAAGGAGCTCAAGTGTGAGCATGTATCTCCCCCTCAAAACGCCCTTTTCGACCAACGGATAGCTCTATGGAACACCAAGCCCGTTGCGTCGAAAACTCTGCTTGAAGACGATAACCTTTTACATTTTTGCGGCCTCCTCACCCACAAATGTTTCTCTCCTCCTACTCAAGAAATCTTCGACCTTATCCAAATCAAAGACGACCCAGGTATCTGTTAAATGTGCTCGAGTATTGCTGTTTTTATTCTTGCGTGTGGTTTATTTGTTGTAATGTTAACTTGATTGTGCGAGTTTTTGCAGAGATGCCTACTATCCCCCTGCCGAAGAGGAAAATACCTTTGAAAAAGAAGCACGCCGAGGGATCAAGCTCGAGGCCTGCTGGCTCGGCCGCCTCTCAATCCACTCGCTCCACTTCACCTCCACCCAATCGTTCCGCATTGCCGCCGCCTAATCAGGTGACTTCCTTCATGAAGGTCGATCCTCAGATCCCTCCTATTCAAGGGCCTGTTATCGAGGAGCAGTGTTTACTGTCCTCGACTGATATCCCTATCAACAAGCATCAAGAGCGGGGGGGTTTTTTCGGTGAAGAACACTCACACCGGGGGGTTTTTCCGGTGAAGAGCCTCCGATGCTTAAGTCAGTATGTGTTTCACTCAATTCTCCAGAGTAAAAAATGGATAAATCGTGCTTAATAAGAAAGGCTAACTCCTATATATATAGGAGTGAGATACCTACCCTAGGAGTTGCTCGGATTTGAAGAGTTATCTTCCCAATGCTGCCCAAATCTGCCCGCCCGTACACACACAGTGCGTGTATGTCAGAGATAGTTATCGCCACTATTGCTCTGCACTAATGTACTCTCACCACGTGCCCCTCTGAGCAAAGGGTAATTATTTCCTTGAATATTCCTTGGGAATTCCTGAAGAAGACAACGCGCATCCTCGCGTCCGCCTCATGCTCTCGATTGCTCCTCACTCGCCAGGTGGTCGATCAGATGAGTTCTTCTTTAGTAGGTCAATCTTCAACCAGATCTGCTCCAATGCTCGACCACTTCCTTTCAGTCTGCTATTGCTCGACTAACGTGGAATTTCTGATATTAGGCTTATACGACCGGCCTAATGAACTGGTTTACTCCATGGGTATATAATATCCCATATCACTCGCCTATTCTGCCTTTGACCTCTCTTTTTTTGGTGTCATTGCCGCGCATTTACCGTGATATTTTCTGAGAAGGCTATCTCTTCCCGTTAGATCCCCAAATTCATATTCACTTTAGCTATCTTCGCCGCCGAATTTCCTCCTCTTCGTCCGTCTCTCTTCCTCTCTGCCGATAAGGGGGCTCGCGCCGGTGTGGCTATGGGTCATCCGAACCGCTCTTAGTCCCTCCTGCCGTGGCATTGCTTCAAACCCTTGGCGTCCATGGTGGTGTCTGTAGGGGATCGAGGGGAGGTGAAGATGGCCCGTCGCTACTGTTCTTGTCCGCCAAGCCGGTGGTGGTCGGGTCCGAGGCTTGCGACCGGGCGTTTGGATCCAAGTCATCTCTGGTGCTGAGATGGACGGGTCTGACAGCAGTGGGTGCGGGTTCTTTTGGTGGTATCGGCAGCCGCGGTCGGTTTGGTGCGGGGGCGTCTTGGTTGGCAGGTCTCTCGGAGCGGCTCATGGGTGGCGCCTCTGGACGGGGTCATTGTTCAGTTTGTCCATCTCTAATCAATTGTTTATTGGAGTGTCTAGAGCTCTTGCTCGGGCAATGGGCCTGTTTCTTCGTTAGGGGCCTCTCGGGGTGCCATCCTTTTGGAGGTGTTAGAAGAGTTTTCAGTCGGTTGGGGAGGGCTCTTTCTTAGTTTAGTTTATTTGTGTGTTGTTTGCTGTGGTTGTGTCTGTGTGTTATGTGTTGGTGTTGTTTTTTTCTCTTGTTTGTGTTTTTCTTGGTGTTGGGTTCCGGTTCTCCTATTTGGGAGTTTGTTTCTCCTCTAGCGGGAAGTCTGTTTTTCTGTTTTATTGTGGGTGCTTTGTGGTATTTAGGCTCCCTTTTGGATGCCTCTCATTTAGGCCATTTGGCTGTCGACTTCGGGTGCTTTGGCCATTCTATGTTATGTAATTATGTGTGTTATTAATGAAAGTCTATCGTCGAAAAAAAAATACCTTGTTATTTTTCGGGCTTTTCCTTTTGGTTATTTGAATTTCAAAGGTCTGCCACGCGTCGGCCCTTATTCCGTCCAACCGCCTTGTCGCCACGTGTCGAGCCCAGTCCAATTGTCCCATCGTCTGACATTTCGCAGTCCGTGCGCGTCTTATGCAATGCGCTCATTAATGTTGCTTTAATCTCACATGTTCGCCTTTCCTTTGATCCTACGACCTAGAGTGACCTGTCTTCACCTACTGTTTTCAATCTAGGTCGTTAATCCAATCTCAATCATACTATTAGAGTTTATTGACCTCCTCATCTTCAGCTTCCTTCCGCCTATAAAAGGCTGCCTTAGCCGAATTTTGTAGGTTTTCGCATTTCAGCACACTTTCTGCTTTATATCTTTCGCTTCCCTTTTTCGCAAATACATCTTGTGCATAGAGTTTTTGCCGTTGCACTATCACCAACAACCGGAATCCGCACTTTTCTCGTAAATTCGACTACCATGATCAGTAAATATTCTTATTTTTGTTGAGGTTTGCATGCTTGATTTTCATTGGTTTTTCTTTGACTTTTTTCCCTTCATCCCCTTTCGAACATATCCTCTATCTCCTTCGCCTTCCACCGATTTCTTCTCTTTTTAAATTTCCTCCTTTTTTGATTTCTTTTTTGTCCTTCTTTTAGACTCCTCCACCTCCAGTGAGGCCGACCAAATTTCCAGTTGAGATATTAGTACTCCCAATTTACTCCTTCGACGACTCCTTCCGTAGAGGTCCATCCTGATTCATCTCCTTCTCGACATGCTCCGCTCTTAGTCACATGTCGTCCTCCTCGTCGTCCCCTCCAACTTCACGAAGAGACTGAAGACGAGTATGAAGAACCACTTCCCCTTGCCAACCTGCCCAATCAACCCATGAAATTCCTATGGGTGCACCTATCCCTGGGGCTACACACACCATGACCCAGGACATGGTCATTGTTGCTTGAAAACAAGGTACGTTCTTTACTATCAAGGATGGTTGGCTCGATAGTTTCTTTGACCAACGTTGTTTACCTATAGATTGGCGCTACGTGTCACCTCTGATACGGCCATAAGTAGCAGTTGATGGAGGACCGGGCATAGGCCGAGCTTAGTCGCAGCTAGGCATGACCGCCCGTGGGGTGAAGGATCTTGGCGTGAGCGTCCTCTCGGCACCTTTGAAGTGAATAGGAGCTAGGCGGGGGCTAGCTTGGCATGAGCACTCCAGCGGAATACCAAAGATTGGTGAGCTCGGCGGATGTGATCACCTCGGCACCTCGACACTTAGGCACCTCGGCCAAAGGGTTCTGCCGAGGGGACCAGTGTGTGGAGGTAGTTCCGTAATTAAGTTATGAGAAGGTTGGCAACATTAAGGAGTCTGAAGATTCGGAGATATTTGACCTAATTAAGAGTTAGACACCAGAAAGACTTCTTGTCCAACAAGAAGACTTCAACCTAGGCATAATCTCAAGTATAAAAGGGGCACTTGTTCATTATTTTTACACAACACACATACACGCGCGAATTTACTTTCTTGACATATTTCTGCTGAACGTTGGGCTGACTTGAGCGTCGGAGTGTTTTCCACCAGGACCCCTCCCGGCATTTTGCAGGTCGTCGGAGGCATCAAAGCGTTCAAACCAGTGAGGCATGGTTTAACTCGGTCGAGGTACAATTTGCGCAACAAATTGGTGCTGTCTGTGGGGAACCATCCTGTTTCTACCAAAGATAAGAGGCTGATTTTTTCCAAAGAAGAAAGAAGGAGAATCATGAAAGGAGATAACTCGAAAAAGAACTTGGCGAAGGATTTGGATGAGGCGTGGACCTAAAGGGTGTTTAGCACAGGGCCTCCGCCGGGGGTGGTTTCACCTGGCTATTACCCCGAAGGAGACGTTGCTAGCACCGGGCACGGCCTTGATACCGACATCAGGAGCTCAGAGGCAACCGTCGAACCTAAGAGGATCGGATCATCGCAGAGGCAATAGGCCGAGCTCAAGATGTGGATAAGAGAGCTCCCAATGAGTCATTTTGGTAGCCTCCGCCTCCGCCACCGTCCGTGCCTCAGCAGCAAAACCAGCGCCATGAGAGGGGCGAGGAGGACGACACCAGATCAGTAACCTCTCGCCTTGCTATGACAACACTGCTAGATGGGTTAACCTTGGAAAATTTGGCAGCTCAAATGCGCGAGATGCAAGGACACGTTCAGGGCCCACCACAGTTTCTCGAGGACATTCTTTTGCAGAAGAAGTCCTAGGAGGGGATCTGCCGAGTAACTTTCAGGAATTGAGTTTATCTTACGATGGGTCGACGGATCCAGCTAGGCATTTGAGATCGTTTGATAACATACCAGTGTTGCATAGATATAGCGACGCTGTCAGTTGTCGAGCTTTTTTGACAACGTTGAAGGGGTCAACACATGATTGGTTCCGCCAGCTACCGGCAAGATCTATTGATAGTTTTGAGAAGTTTAGTTATGTGTTCTTGAACCAGTTTGCAAGCGCTAGAAAGCATGAGAAGACGTATCTCTTGCTAATCAATATGCAACAGAATGAGGGGGAGACCTTGCGACAGTATGTTGTGCGATACACTAAGGAGTGTGTGGAGGTTCCCTCTGGAGGTCTCACGCGAGGTTGAGGCCTGGAAAATGCAGGGATTCTTTGGCGAAGAGGCCGGCAAGGTCATTTGACGAACTTCTTGAAAGGTGTAGTAAGTATGTGAATATGGAGGAAACAGAAGTTGATTTCATCCAGAATGAAAAAACCAAGGCGAAGCAGGCGAAAGAGCAGCTCCGTCAAAGTGATCGACGAGCTGCCCAAAAGGAGTCCAAAGCTGAGGATCGGTTCAGGGGTCCTAGGTATGAGCATTACAAGCCGCTGAATGCAGCACAGCAGGAGATCATGGAGATGATGGAAAAGCGAGGAGAGACCAAGTTGCTCGCGCAACCTAAGCCTCTCCCACCACCGTGAAAATTTTTTGCAAGAAAGAATCGATACTGCTGGTACCACCACGACTATGGCCACTCAACCAATTTCTGCCGAGAATTAAAAGATGAGATTGAGCGGCTCATTAAAGCTGGACACTTGAAAGAATTTGTAATCAAGGATAAGGATCGCCACGAGGGCGCGAATCAGACGACAAGCATAAAAAGATGGATGAGCAGCCGGACAGACCGGTAAAGAAGAGGATAATCCACATGATTGCGGGGGCCCCTACAGATGGAGACTCACATAGAGAGAGAGAGAGAGAGAGAGAGAGAGAGAAAAAGGACTTACCGAGGGAAAGGAGTTGCCGATGAATTGGCCGAGGTCCGGGTGCAGATGAGCTTGACTACTTTGAGGTTTGGAGCTGTAGATGTGTAGGGGCTTGTTGTCCCACATAATGATGCCTTGGTTATCACTGTCGAGGTGGTTAGCTATGATGTGCAGAGGGTGCTCATAGACACAAGGAGCTCGACAGATATCATTTTCTGGAAGTGTTTACAACAAATGGAGTTGGACGTGAAGATCAAACCAGTCCATACCACTATGTATGGTTTCAGCGGCAGTGAGGTCCGCCCATTAGCGAAGTCAGTCTAACTATGGCATTGGGAAGGTCGCATATGAGGAAGGTAAAAATGGTTCGTTTCTTGGTTGTGGATGCCAGCTCGGCGTACAACATTATACAGGGACGACTTAGCTTGAATTCGTTCCAAGCTGTTGTTTCTACTTACTGTATGAAGATTAAGTTTCCCATGGGGAATGAGGTCGGAGAAGTGACAGGAGATCAGTTGCAATCTCAGCGATGTTATGAGGTTACATTGAAAACAACCGAAGCGCAGAACAAAAGGAGAAAGGATGACATGCCCGAGTGCTCGCGCCAAGGAAAAAGACAAGAACTGGAGATAGGCTCTCATGACAAATTTATTTTTTTGTGTTGCAACACAATTTCGTAATACAGAATTTCTGTGTTCTAACACAGTCTGCGTACTCTATACTTCCCCACCATCGTTTCAGAAACAAAACAATTTGATTGGAAATCTTGTTTTGATTGAAAATCTTGATAAGCCAATAAATTGACCACAATAAATATTATGTTATACAAAGTTGGATTCTATATTTTCAAAAGCATCTCAAGCTATTCCAACATACAAAAATTGCATACAAATGTTCTAGCAAACATGAAAGTTAGAATTTTGATTGCTTCAAGTATACAATTGATTGCATTCCACTAAAAATTGAAAATAACATTATGAAACTTGTTTAATGCGATGCCACACATGGTTCATATCTTTATGGTTGATTTAAGTGGATTTGAAGTGATTGGTCACATCTCACCAACAAGTACATGGAGAACAAAATATCCATGTTAAATTGGGTGATCATGGGGGCATTTCTGGAAAATGAAGTTTGCAAACAAAATCATTTATTAACCTTTTAGCGATGCATATATTTCATTCCATTACTTTTTAGCTTTTATATTATATCATCATTAGATGGAGGGCCTTTCTATCAAGGCATTCACGTGCGAGTTACGGGTTTATTTTGGACGAATTTGGTTTTGGTCCGATAATGACCGTAATGGGATATTATTGATCTATCTTCGTGGCCCAAAAAAGAGAAAAATAAAAACTTAAGCTCGCCTTTTTAGCCCTCGTGTGATAGAAAATGACACCT